AACACCTGAACTGGAGTAAAACAAAAACTAAACAAAAAGGAAATTTTACTAGCAAATATCTATATTGAGCTACAACTTTTAAGTTAGGAAAAGTTTTGTCACCTTCTTATTAGAACCTCGAGAAGCCACAGAGATGTCTATTGGTTCAATGTGGCCCTTCTTCACTGTGGCTGCTTGTCCAGGAAACACAACCTGGTAACACTCTTGCATTCTTCCCAATGTCCTGTGAAGAAGATGATACTGAATAAAAACTACTGCCACAGGTATCATGTCCCCCTCCCACATTCTTGGTTTTCACATGAACAGAAAATCTAGTGGAAGGAAAAAAAAATGTTCTGAGCCATACAGAGTCAGAAGCATCTTACTGACAAAACAAGTATTTTAGTAGGTAAACACTTCTGTATTAAAAATCCTTTTTAAACTGGTGTTTCTATACCACTTAACAACCACTGGAGTGTGCAGTTAAAAACAGCTGGAAAAATTACAAAATAATGTAAATATGAAGCCACAAACAGGGTATGATGACATTCATTCATATTATATAATGTTTTTTTTTTTTTACCTGCTAAAAAGGTCATCCCATTTGAGACACTCTACCTCCTGGTATTCTGATTTTTCCAGTAAGCAGTCACACAGAGTCGGGTTTATAGTCACATAACTGGTGGAAAGAAAAAAGGAGCTCTGGTTAAACAGCTGGCTCTAACCAAGGAAAATGTGGCCTTGTTTCCTCTGGTGAATTGCTAATAGATTTAATTTGATTTCTTTCATTTGCAATTATAGACTTATTTTAGAACATCTTGAGAATCACTGGCTTTCATAGCATGAAAAGAAAAACTTCTTCAGTGTGACATTTTAGCCTTTTTACAGCATCACATGTTCTCAGAACTAAATTTACTTAGCAGTTAAGGTGGAAATTTTAACCACAGTTCTAAAAAACAATGAAGAATGTCTTATTTTGAAGCTTATTTTTGTTAAATCTGAAGACAGAGATAAACAGAAACAAATATTTACTCAAAATAAAACATTCCTACTAATGTTAATTTTCGTGGTGTTTCCTAATTCTTGAGGCAATAACTGCTGTAGCAAACTACAATTGATTTGCACCTGATAATTATTCAAATATACACTTACTTTTTATTATTCTCATCCACCAGCTCATTCTTCTTCACATACTCAGTGATTATACTTCTGACGTCAGCAGGAAGCATTGTCGTCCCTTTCCTAAACAACCACATGTCAATTTTTTCCAAAGTGAAAATGTCACAACAAGATATAGTTTTTATTCTTGAAGCATGGTATTATGTTCCTGCTGGAACATCCCACTGTGTCCGCTGCCACCACCATGCTCAGAAGTTAGTGCAATGCTTAATGGTTTAAAAGCCTGATCTTTTTTTCTTCAAACATTCCTTTTTGCCTTTAAGGCCAAATAGATGAACCGTTGTCCCTTCTGACCATAAAACACTTCTCCAGATGGCATGTAGTCCATGTGAACAGCAGTTGTGTTTAGGAGTCAATTTTGTGGCATTGACTATTTTCTCGATTCTGCAATCATTGAGACTGTACTGGTTTTAAACTTCCTTCAGTAAAGACAAACCGTGTTTGAGCCGCTTGGTGCTTCCCAGGTTGTTTGTGGCTACTTGGGTCAGATGGGTGAAACATGGAGAATAACCTTAGACACATATCAACCTGTGTTCGGTTAAAGTAGGCTAACATTAAGCTTCTTAGTCTTGACTCCAACCATCCTGAAGTCACAAATTAATTTGGCTTCAAGGTTCAAGTCCGTGGTGACGACATGCAAATGTCTGACCAGACCTATTACACTTTGAGCTCAAATTCTTTGCCTTAAATGTGGTTACGCCTAAAACATAAAACGCTTTTTGAGAAAATTAATATAAATGGGCCACACCAGTGGTATAAAGTATTTCAAAGGCCTTCATAAACTCTGCTTCATCTGCTTTAGTGCATGTTCCAAGGATAACAAAAAAGTACATTTGTCAAATTTCTTTGTAAATATACAGCTTTATATTTTCTTGAAAATGGAAAAAAAAAGTATATGGTGTCACACTAAAAGAAAAGCAAAATAAGGATGATCTTGGAGTGTGCAGAAGACTAATATTTATTTGACTTTCACCTAGGGAATATTAACTTATCCCTTCACAAGAGAGATGAGAGGGTAAGGTCAGTTTAAGCAAACCCCTGACACTGTCCCTGCTGTGGTGCTGCAGTATCTCCTCAAAGTAAACACCGGCTCCAGCTCTTGCTGTGAAGGCCACCTGCTGCCTGAACCATGCAAACATGAGCCTGCGTAAGGAGCCGGGGGTGAGGAAACTTCAAAGTGGACACACACACCTCTTATTTGCATCCAAAAACAGTGGCTCCAACCGAGCAGAGACAGCGTACAGAGTAGTGATCTCTGGAGGGTGGTACGGGGCTTCTCCTTCTCCACTCAGCACCGCTGTTTCTTCAACACCTGCCTCCTCTGGAATACTAAAGGACCGCAGTCTGAAAAATGTTTTAGTAATTCAAAGAGAGACGAGCAGATTTAAATGTGCGAAGCTTCCAGAAATGAAATTAAACCCAAAAAGAAAACAGAAAAAAAACTCACTGTTGATTTTTCCAGTCCACTTCCACAATGCTCTCCACACCCTTGGTGAGTTCTTTCACTTGAACTAGATTATGCTGCTGTTGCATGACTTGTAGAAACTTGGACAGCTGTTGAAAAGGTGCAAATTATGCATGACAATAAGAGTGTAATATAGCTGTGGCTTTGTCCTACTCTGGGGATATTTTGTACCTTTTTATAGCTGGATTTCTTGATATCCAGCTGCTTTCCGCTAGGGCTGGAAAAAAAGAGGACGCTCTCAGGAGTACAAACTTCAATTTGTTTTCAGCAGGTTTGAACAGATTGGTGAAGACCTTACCAGCAGGTGAACATGTGGTTCCGGAGAAATGTGCTAGTCAGCAGAGGGAGCTCTGACTTCTTAACCTTGCTCTTCAAAGCATGCAGGAAGCACTGCAGCAGCAGGGCGTCCATTTCCTCTGTAAAATCGGGGTATAAAACTTTTTCTGTCTCATGTTATTTTTCTAACATCAAAAATAAAAGCTTCATCTACAGGCGAAGCTTTGAACATATCAAAAATGGGACATTTTTAACCATTCGTGGACAAAATGTATTTATTTATGCTTGCTACCTTGAGGAGTTTTCTGCTCGTCCTGGTTCTCCTTGCCTTTTTCATTGCTAGTTTCCACCTGGTCTTCCTCCATTTCATTTAGGTTCAGCTCCTCAAAACCACAACAGGCTTGATCTGTAACGATTTCGCCACAGCTCTGCTGCTCCTCTGCACATGTTCCAAAATCATCATCATCATCATCTCTACGTTCTTCTTTCTCACTAATTTCACATTTCTCTCCGTTTGTATCTTCTATTTCACCATCCTCATCTGGTAAAGAGGGAGGGTTTGATTTATCTCCAAAAGCCCTGTAGAATAAAATAAAAATTTCGAAATGTATTGATCTATGAGGATGCATTGACACTAAATAAAGTCCCTACAAATGGGGGTATTAATAAATAAAAAAGAGCAATAATATCACTCTGACTTGCAAGGAACTCAAATAAAGCTTAATGAAATAAAAAAACAAAACTCAACACCAACTAGTAAACACCTGATTGGTTTATCCCTTATGCAAAAGTTTTAAGTCCCTCACCAGAGGTAATCCATGTACGTGTGAAGAACACACACTCCTCTCCCTTTCATACCCGAGCTTTGCATCTCCATGGTTGACGACGCAGCTTTGCCAACAGCAACAGGAGCCCTGCCAACAGCAAGTAGAGCACAGTTATCCTTCTATTTTTGAGAGTGGTGAAAGAAAGCATTTACAATTTTTTAATCTGTGCCACACCTATTATTCACAATCAAAACAGCACAGCAGGACCCTTGTTTTACATCTGGAAGCCCGCATGAAGGCATCACCACACCAGGCAGCATGAGATCTTTGGAGAAGCACATCATTGTCATTACAACCGAGACAAGCAGAGACACAACATGTGTTATGCTGAAAAGGGAAACTTACCGGCCCCTCCAATCAACTTCTGAAGCACAGGAGCCCATGTTCTGAATACTGGTAGGAGAGAAGGGTGTCGCCACAGAACGTACACTGAAGATAAGAAAAATCAACAGTCTGAGCACATTTATCATGCTTTTGTTTCTGTATACATTATGCCTTGTTTATGTTTCAATACCTGTCGGATAAAGTCGCTTCTCCAGTTCAAAGAAGATAGGGTTTTTATGAAGAACATAAAGAGTCACTGCTTCTCCTTTGTGTGCATAAATCCTCACAACATTGATTTCCTCTTTGTTGGGGACGAGCTCAGACAGATCATCAGCAGAAAGGGGTGGAAATGCAGCTGAAAGGTCAGCTTTCAACTTTCTCCTGCATAGAGTTAGGAGTAAAAATGTTACTGATTTCATTTAATTTTCTTAATCGTGTTAAATGGCTTTTAATCAACTCTTCTAAAAGCAGAAATACTTTTTTTAACGATTGAATACTGTACTGGAGCCCAGAGAACACTTAAAATGTTAAAATTAAAAACACACACAAAGAAAAGATTAGAAGTTTGGAAAACACATTTAATTAGTGTACACGTCAATTAATAATTTTAAGTACATGGTGGAGTTTATTTTAAACACACTGCTAAAAGAAATATCGTGTCTGTGTTGTCATCAGCTCTGACTAACCTGTCTGATCCTTTGAGTACAGTGTTGGATTTGACACGAAACGGTTTGGCAAACATCTTTTCGCAAATAAAATCTTTACGGCGACTATTTCAACCTCTGTGGTACGATACGTCACCAAACATTCATCACAGCTGCACAATTCTCCCACAGCAACATGTTTCCACTGTTTCTACAGAGCTTTGCACCGACCAAGTGGTTCTCGGTCCGACGCTTATTTGTTTCCGTCTTGAAACATCTACCGCGACTCCAGAGAGGAACATGAGTTCCACGCATTCGGACGCTTCTTCTGTTACAGGGCGAGGTGAGTAAAGTGCCCAAAACTTGAATTCTTCTGCACGTCACTACTTCAACTTATTTTGTACCCAACAAAATAAAAAAAATAGCAAAACAGGCATCCAAGAATTTACTCAATTATAATCAAAAAAGTATTTGAGTGCCTAATCAAAATATCTGATTGAAATAAACATATAGATAAAATATAAAGGTATGTAAAAATTGTGCAATTTAGACACTAAAATAATAATACAAATTCAAATAGCAACAGATTCACACAGAACAAACATCTTCCAAATAATACTTACAATTATTCACATTTATACAACTGTTTACCCTGAACACACCATTGTCATGCTCAGGCACTAATGTCAGACATTAGTGTCATGCTCAGACACTAATGTCTGAGCATGACAATGAGCAAATTGTGGTATTATGTTGTGATAATTATTTTCTTTTAAGCGGACTAGAAAGTTGGTCCATCAGTGGTCATGAAATGACATTCATTTTTCACGCACAGAGCGTTTCTTTATTTTTATCTCACCCACTTCAGTTATTTGCATGATGAGAGACAAAGTCTCTCGAAGCTCGACATACTTGCTGTAAGCAGAAGAAACAACCATCATGCTTTTGCCTTTAGTCACATGTTCACAACATTTCGCAGAAAGTATCAAGCTGTGATTTTCAATGAAAGTGAACAAATATCTCATATGTTTCCAACTACTGCTGTTTACTGTCTTGCAGTTGGTGGAGAGTCAAGAAGATATTAGATTTAAATCTAATGCCACAGGTGCTGAAGTGGATTCGTCAATAATTTCAGACATAAATAATTGCTGAATTTTTCTTTCTGGTTTTGGTCACATGTTTTCCTCCTGTTTTCTGGCACTTAAATGTTTAGACTGAACAGACAGATTTTTCAGTGTCTCATTTCTACGCAAGTATATTCATTATTTACAAATAGGACCCTGGCCATCCATGCTTAGCTGTTTGGAGAAGTAGTTTATTATGTGAAAGATTTCAACTACACAGAGAAGGAGAGATGCCAGTTTCTGTGCACAGTAACATGCATGTGGCCATTGGTGACTGAAAATGCATAAAATGTGAAGGGTATTTTTGTTTACATTTGTGGCGATACTTTCTACAGTAAGATAAAAAATAGAAAAGAAATATAATTTGTCTGATTACATGAGCTTTTTTGTTACCACAATTGGCCGGATTTAGATTTTGGAGGCAGAAAAACAACATATGGTTTTGATTTGCCTGTTTGTGAGGTACAGCACATTGTTTTTCACAAGTGGTCTCAACAGGCTGAGTTTGACGGAGGATAGACATGTGCGCTGCTAAGCACTCTTGTCAGAAATATCCAAAGATCTTCTTAAATAACATTTAACAGGAGACCAACTCATTTGGCTTCCTGTGGAATTAGGCAATTAAATGTTTTATTTATCTTGCAATCCCTTTTTACAATGCCTGTGAAGTAACACAATAAAATAATTTATAAGATTAACTTTTAGTTGGAGAGACAGATAAGTTAAATGTCTACATTTGTTTTATGGCATCTTTAGATGCTATAGATAATGGAAAATTTCTGGCAATCCAGCTGCCAGTAACATTCTATAAGTGCAATAAAATACAGTATTATCACCCAAATCTGTTAAAATAGTAGCACGCTGTATAAATGACACCTTCAAATAACAATAATTGATGGCAACTCTGCTGCCAGTAATTTACAGTAAATAAAGACAATTCAATAATGCATGAGATTTTCTTCCCTGAAGAAAATACCTCGTCTCATGTATTTTATTATGTTATAGTGTTACCCTAAATGCTGCAAATAGTCATGGTCTTTGGATTCACTGGAAGGAAGTAACAGATGCCAAAGAGTGCATTACCAAGTATAAATCAGACATCGTTCCTTTGTCACAATGTTTATGGGTGTAATCAATATGTTCTATGTTTGATGTCGTTGTCTAGTTGAAGCATTGGAATATGACTCAATGAAAGCTTGACAAAATGAGCTCTATGTTAGTACTGCTATAAAGAAGAGATAGACTTAGAAACAATTTGTTTTCACCTGCTTGGCTTGACAGTGAGTAGCTGTTACTGAATTATGAAAACACTTTAGTTGTTTCTAAGGCTTTTACTAGCAAATACATAAAATACATTAAATACATTAAAAGCAAATACATTGAAAGAGTTAATATTTCCAGTGTTGGATGTTCAGTTTCATAACCACCATTAACTCTGGCTTGTTGAATATTCTGCCAATAACAAAAGTCTGATGGGGATCCATTCTTGTCTTATTGGTGCCTTGAACTCATCACAAATAGTTGGCCGCCAGATTTTCCACCAGTTATTTGAGACATAACCACAGCCTCTAATTGGGGTTTCATGGATTAGGGTTTCATGTGTTCTGGTCTTTAAACCTCCTGTTATGTTTGTTTCTGAGGTACAGCAATAATGTTCCACAGTTTGACCTGTTTAGTGTTTAATCATGCAGTAGAAACCAAAAACCAAAAACTTCCTCCAAAACAAAATCTGTTCATTAACTCCTGTTACATTGTGGGTCAAATTTACCCATTTTCACATTTTACATTTTTTAAAAAATAGTTGGAAGTATTTTTTTGCATGAAACTTTTTCTATTTGTCTTAATAGGTGCACTCCACATATAAATTGAAAATGTATTCATTGTACACATTTTCAAAGCCCCCTGTGTCTATTTTTTACATAGATGCTGTTTGGGTCAATTTGACCTGACAGTCAAGATGAAGGGTAAAAAAGATGAAAAACTGCCCAATTCTATATGTTTCCTTGCAGCTACGAACCTAATTTCACCATACACACACACACACACACACACGCACACACACACACACACACGCACATGCACACACACACACCACACACACACGTGCACGCTTACATGCCCACTTTCTCACTATTTTCTTTACTTCACAAGGAAACTGTGAGAAAGTCATCCAACTTTTGACGGGAACTTTTTCTGTTCCTTGGGTAAACTCCAGCCACACTGAGTGGACACTCAGAGGAAGTGGGGGGGGAACATAAATACTCTCTGCATGACTCATTTGTCTTGATTTTAATCAGTGGATCAATTTGACCCAGAACAATACTGTGTCTCAAGTTCAGTTATAAAGATCACCCATTAAAAAAACAAAACAAAATGTCATCTAAAAAAAATTACAAAAGATCAATTTCAAGGAAACTGATCCTTCCTACAAACAAAAATGATTGTATTTTTGTTTGTAGGTTTTTTTCAGTGTACGTAAAAAATGTAAATTCCATTTTTTCATGTCCAAATGAGTAAATGATTTGTCGTCATTGATCCTTTATTTGTGAGAAACACACACATGCACACAAACATCATTACACAAATATTGATTGAAATGGTTAGAATTGGAGATAAGGTGCCTCATGCCTTAGTGTGTCACAGTTAACTATAGATAAACACCAGGCAGTTAGAGAACATTTTGATCTGATCTTTTGTTCATTTCAAAAGGGCTCTTAGGATATTTTATGAGAACGTCCAGTACATTGGATGAAAAGCAAGACCACACATCATTTAAGGTTGTTTCCAGATCTCGTTCAGAAATTATGATTTCCAATTGGAAGGATGATTAATTAGAGAACATGACTTCATATTTGTCTATCTATTAAAGCTGCAGGACGTAATTTTTATGAAGAATATGTTTTTTACATATTTGTTGAAACTGTCACTATGTTGTGACAATATGTTACGAGACAGATAATCTGTAAAAGGATGGAGCTCCTCAGCAGCTATTGTTGTCTGAGGAAATGCACCGTTCTTGATGAAAAACAATAAATTGGAGCCAGGAGGAGGTTTTGAGACTCAATGTGCTCAATGTGCTAATGGTCAATAAACAACTTACCACAACAGGAAAACTGTTTATGCTGACGAGCCAGAGCATTCTCAACAGGATCTGGTAACAGGGGAAAAGGGAATGAACAATGCTGCAGGAGATTGTGACTGACAGCACTAAGCCTTGTCTCCAAGGTTTAGTGCTGGAGACAAGCACTAAGCCTGATGACATAATTTACAAATTATGTGATCAATTTGCAGAGACAGAGACATTAAAATTACTTTTGTTCAAGTTAAACCAGATATGCTTAATATTAATTTTGAGTTTTAGTCCAGGATTTCGCTTCCAATGTTTTTTGCTCACCTTGTTTTTTCATGCAAACAACACAAACACATAACTATTTGATGAGTTTGTGCAAAGACATTGAGACTGATGGGATAACTCTCATACTGACCATTTATAAAAAACATATTGTTGCAAGGTGAAAACAATTGGATTTTAGATGGTATTTTGGACTTATTATTGTCAGCTTTCATCACAAATCAGCACATTGCCAATATGTAGTGCTATCACTGAACATTGCGCTTTTTTTTCAGTTGGAAAGACATGTGCTTATTTAGGATGGAAACTAACAATCCTTCAATCCCAGAGGGGGAAATTGACCCGGGATACATATAACCATGCTCTGAAAGTCACTTTGGTCCCATAATTTTTCTGTAACATATTTATGAGGTAACATCTGTGCCAAAAATAATCTTTAGTAATTTTGACAGATGCACAGAGAAATGTTTAGTGAAAGGAAATTGTGGGAGGTATACTTTTGCAAGCCGCTAAAGTCTTTGTTGAACTTAATATGGATCTTTTTATGTGTTGTTTTTAGAAGGTAATTTTGCTATTAAGAAAAAATTATTCTGCACTATCATTGACGATGCTTAAAGCAAGTAACTAAATACTTCAAAATAGTTTAAAAATACCATGCTAAAATTAAATATATTCAACTGAATATAAATTGCAGCTAAACTAATTTTGATCTGAATTAAATTTACTTTAATAAGATTTATTTTTTTTTTTGTTAATCTGTTAACTATCAAATTAAATTTTCTGACCTCTATTTATGGTGTAGTAATTGTCAAATGCAAACTGTAAGTTTCCATCCTATAACTAAAGGAGAAAACTGAGGATTTGTTTTTTTACTAGAAACATGCATACAATCTGTTCAGTGTACTAAAAGGATGTTATTAAGTTTGAACTTTGAACCACAAATAGCCTCCAAAACAGGCTTACAAATGGTCCAACTTTAGAGACAGATTGGATGCAAAATAAATACACTTCACATTTGAGGTAAGAAAATTATGCAGATTTTCTGATTGTGCTATTTTGTGAGCTGTTTTTTAAAACTCTCCTCTCCTTCTCAAGTTAGTCTGTTTGTTATGCATAGCCTTATATTAGCCTCTCCTTACTTTTTCACTTCTCTATTATCTCATAAATTCCAGAACAATAGTGGTATCACAGCATGACCAAATAAAATTGAGTGAAAGTAGGTTTGGAGGACAATCCTCTTGATATATAAAGCTTATTATTTTATTTTACTTTCTTAGAAACTGTGAACATTAAACAATGGCTACAAAAGAGAGTTTGTTCAGCCCCAAATGAAAGAAGAGGGATCACCGAGGCAAAATCTTACACACTATGTAAAATAAAGAGAAAAAAAAAACACAACAAAAAAAAGAAAAATGCAGTGATCACCGAAATAACTCAAAACTTTCCAAAGTGAACATTAAAAAAAATTACAGATATTTAGCCAACGAAAATCTGACATTGCCTTTGAATTGTGGTTTAAGTGAATCATAAACAATCAAATAAAAGAACTAAGGAAACAGGCAGGCCTGGATGGAAATTACACTAGTCCCTTAATATTTTGTTGTGGAATCACTGCAAATGAGACTCCTGCACATGTCTACGGGTATTCTGACCCACTTTTTTTAGTATACAATAGCATGCAGAACAACACGATTGTATTTTAAATGAGAACACATTTTTTGTGGTTGATTAAATATTCAATATCTGAGACCCAACCTCTTCATGAGTAAGTTGCTCCACTTGTCTCAAGTTTGAGAGGTGTCTTCTCTAGATGTCATGTTTCAGCTCCTACCACATGCTCAATATATTTTAGATCAGGGCTCCTAGAGTCCGGTTCAAAACAGTCCAATGTTATTGATCTTAGCAATTCTTGGGTGTTTTTAGCTGTTCTTTTTTAGCCACTATTGTGATGAAACATCTATAATCACTAGCCAACATCTCTCCAAAACATCTTGACAGCCTTGAGTTTTCATCATGCACATATTCAAGACATCCGTGCCAGCCAGAGTTGTCCCAGAAATTTAACCAAGCGTCTATTTCACAGCAAGATGACAACCATCTTAAAAGTGTATGTTTTGGAATATGTTATTTGAAAATTGATTCATAACCTTTCCCAAATTAATGGGAAAAACTTTTGCTTTTCTTTGAACATTTTCTGTCCACAGGCTAGCATGTGCCGAAGAATGTAATTGGCAAGTGTTGTTGGACAAACTAATAATGACACAAAGTGGCATGACATAGTATTCTGACAGCTTAATTTTAAACTATCCAAAGGAAATGGAAGGAATTTTTCTGTTTTTGTTGTAATTTAGAACTCATTAGGACCCATTACCTTTTTAACAAAGCTGATTCTTAAATCAGCATGTTGTCTTTCTTTCCTCAGTGTGTCCTGGAAAGGAGATACACAAAGAATTCACATAATCACTTGAACTCTGTGTTCAATTTTCCTACCCCAGAAGAGGATGTAAGTATGGGGCTTTTTCTGAATTGCAGTTTATAGGCCTGTAATGGTTGTCTGATATATAGAGGCGCCAGCAAAAGCATATACTGAACTTCTCTATGAATTGAATACTGTAATTGTTGAAAATAGACCTTGACGCACTCAGAAGAAATAGGTAAAGTGGATGTTATTCTTTGTTGACACATACTAATTGTAGTATACAAAAGCATGCAGAAACAACGTGATTGTATTTTAAATGAGAACTGTAATTATCACTTGTTTTTGTTTGATTAAATATTCAATATCTGAGGCCCAACCTCTTCATAACCTCTATTGCACAAGAGTAAATAGCAAGACATACTTTAAGTGGTTCAGCTAATGATAACGTTTGAAACTGTGATGGAAAACAAGGAGGTTAAAAAGCAGATGTTGCAACTAGCTCACAGATGGTACTAATATTTACATGGCCGCAGGATATAAGTTGTTACATAGGTTACATGAAAGCGGAAAAAAGGTGTGTGCGCTAATGAAACAAAATTGTTGGGTCCACAGCTGCAGAGGGGGTTGCTGCTGGTATTTATTTTAGGCAGGCAGCATATTCCACTCATTCAGACTGGAATACTAGAGAAGTGGGTACCAAGGAGGCAGCAAGAAACTGGTAGGTATACAGCAGCAAAATTGGAATGAATCGTGTGTATTTATCTTTAAAATATTAATATTTAAAATATACTTATCTGTCTTTAAGTGATCATGCGGACATTGGTATTTATCCTCTTGATGGAAATGGTGGATGTGAACATCAGCCAGCAGTACACCCCCTTCCAGTGGCTGTCCCAACTGAGAGGCCGGAAGCAGAACGCAGGCTGGCAGTCTGAGGCTGTGGATTGCCCCCTGGAGTGTGATTGTCCAACGGCCTACCCCACAGCTATGTATTGTCACAATCGCAACCTGCAGCACATTCCCTACGTTCCGTCGCACATAAAGTATGTCTACATGCAGCGTAACCAAATCACAGGCATTCAGGATGGAGTGTTCGACAACGCCACCAACCTGGTGTGGGTGATTTTGTCGCATAACCAGCTCAGCTCAGTGAAAATCAGCGACAGTGTCTTTGTCAAGCTGGGAAGCCTGGATCGACTCTATCTGGATAACAATGAACTGACCCATGTGCCTCGTAACTTACCAAGATCCCTCACCGACCTGAGACTTTCCTACAACAGAATCACAAAGATCTCCTCCAAAGTTTTTGAGTCCATGCCCAACCTCACCACCCTTCAACTTCAAGGAAATCTCATAGAAGAGGTAGAAGGTGGGTTAACGGGACTAAGATCTCTTATGATGCTGGACATGAGCAAAAACAAGCTGAGGAAAATTCCTGACGGCTTTCCCAAAGAACTCCAACAGCTCTACCTTGGGCACAACAACATAAAGAGTGTCCCAGCTGGTTTTCTTACCATGTATCCCAATCTGCAATTTATCCGCTTGAGTCACAACAGTTTGACTGATGAAGGACTTCCCTCCAATGTCTTCAATACCAGCACACTCATTGAGCTTGATCTGTCCTTCAACAAACTGGAGAGGATCCCTCTTGTTAGCAGGAACCTGGAAAACCTGTACCTGCACGCAAATAAGATCAAAGGTATGCACACTTCTTTAAATCTTAAAGTAACAAAGTGAAACAAAAGTTTTATTGACAATTTTAATGACACTAGTGTTAATTCTATTTATATTAAGATGTGTAGTCACTTTTAAACAAGAGGCAATCCTTTAAAGATCACCTATCATGCTTCCTCAAACAGTCCATATTCTCTGATTTTTTTGTAAGTTTGTTTACTTTTTTTCACTAAATTTGACGCTACAGTCTGCTGCATTTGGACCCTAACAATGCATCTTGGTGCAGAGCTGGAAAGAAGTCAGCAAAGATTCTGGCAGCTTATCAACCAAAACAGATCTAGAGCTAATGGGGTGTTGTCAGTAGTTGTATGTATAGAGATCAAAAAGCAAACATAGCAGCAACAATGCAAAAATATTAGATCAATAAAAAAAAAACTCAGTCAGAAATTTATAGAACTAGGTCAAGATTAATATGGAGAAAAGTGCTTAATCAGACATATAAATCAGACAAGTTTAAAACATAAAAACAGCTCAGAGAAAACAGACCACAAAAAAAGAGAAAATGACTGGAGAGAAGCCTAAATACTGTTCAAATAAAAACAAAGAATAACATGCAAAGGAATCAAAAGATGAAGACAAATGATATATCTATATTCAGGCAACATACACACACACACACACACGCACGCACACACACACACACGCACACGCCCCCCCCCCCCCACACACACACATATATAGCAGTCGTATCAAATAGTGATTCTACATGCTGATAAACAATAGGGTCATTTCTTGCATTTCGGTATTATATCACTTTTAATATGACGACATCCACAAAATGAGCTACATTCAGCAAGCACAATGAATAATGACACAGAGCCAATTAAACCAAACCAGTATGGACCCGACTGGGTCAAACGAAGCTATTCTGAGTCATGGATATAATTTTATTTATGCGCCTGCGTAATTTGGCGTTAATACAATAATGCCACCCAAACAGTCCTTGAGGCCAGGCATAATCCACGAGGTTCAGGCAACATGTTTTTTTTTTTTTTTCTTTTTAATTAGTTCTGATTCCGATTCCAGTTTCCTTGCGGTTGGTTTGACAGTTCTTTTGATGTGTTCATGTTTATAACTGGTTTTTCTCCCCTTTCAGAGTTTTCCCTGAGCAGTTTCTGTGACACGATCGATGGAAAAAACTTCTCTAAGCTGAAAGTGCTGCGATTGGAGGCCAACAAAATCAGTGTCAGGGACATTCCTGTTGAAGCTGCCTACTGTTTGAGACTAGTTTCTTCTATTAATGTTTAGAACTTTCTGTTCTTTTATGAGTTGAGTTCATCTCTAACTTATACTCTCTTACTGTTACAACGTCTGCTTCATTGGTCTAGAAATGTTTTATTAAATAGTTATGCTATTAACATTCCAGTGATATCATAATTCCAGTGTTAGTCAACAGGAAATACCAGTGTTGTATAATCTAATATCCAGATGGCTGTTAGATAGTCATATGAGAGCTGATGGACTTTCGTTAGAAACATCCCAATCTCAGTCACTGGATTATGCCAAACCAACACTGTTAGACATAATTACACAATAGCTGATGAAGAAAATATTAATCACCATGAAACTGTCAATCATTTGTAGAAAATTTAGTTTTTATCTTTGCCTCCACCATGTGGAATGCCATAAAACTTCATGTCAAACAATGATTGGTTGTTCTTCTTGCAGACTTCTTTTTTGTCACTTAGTCACTTTGCTGGTTGTACAGTTCATAATATCTTTTATTCCAAAATGTATGCACTGGGTTGATATGTTATTTTGAACTGACTTTAGTTAATATGTATCCAAATATTTACTTTGAAGCCCAAATGATCTGATTTTAATATTGTTTTATAAAGTTAAAACTAAGTAATGCCGTATATGCATGAGATGCTGAAAGCAAATGCTACACGATAAAAATAAAGCCTTTAAATTGTTTTTCTTGTTTGATTTTATGTCTTTTTTAATTTGCGATTAAATCACAAATGTTCCAAGCAGATTTGCCTCATTCGAGTCATTAATTTGATGTTGTACACGTGGAAATTGATGTTCTTCCAGTGCCAGGCCAGATCTGGTGTCATATCCAGTCTCTTAGCAGCAACAAATTCCACCAAGAACTGTTTTGTTTTTCCACACCTGCTCCCACGGTGTCCAAGCTGTTTTTACAATGCCTGACCTGGGGAGGCCAGTCTATGTCTGAAGGTATTCCATTACATGTTTTTCTGTTCAGGTGTGACAGTGTGCTGGAGGTGTTGATTTTCCTTTTACTTTACATCACAAAGGAATCATATTTCTTTAATGGAGCCCTGCTAAGAATGTGAATACATTTAAATATGTTACTTTTTGGGGCAGCATCTTAGCTATTTCCATGAGACTTCAGAGATTGCTCCAGGAATCTGCTGCAGTCACTCCCCAGGGTTCAGTGTCACAGCCTGAAACACATTGTTGACCACTGAGGTCTTGACTCTCCACAACTTCTCCATTTCCTCTTTAAGCCATTTGGGATTACTCTCATGTTTCTTCTTCTTGATGTTGTCCCTTCAGACCACTGTGTCTATAAAATCTGCTCATTTTTCTTCCTCTATGTCTGCTTGCTTATTTTGTGTTGAACCATTTAAGAAGCATCATTTTCCCTAACAGACTTCTATTGCTCTTGTGCTGAGTATTTGTTCCTGTAGTGCCATAATTTTGTTCCTCTGTGCTGTCCTTTAGTCCTCATAGTAATTGCCAATCAAAGGCTTGTTTCCACCCGGTTACTTCCTGCAGTCCAAGTTTTGTGCTATTTGAGGCATTTATTTAGCGGTTTGTAATTTTTTTTGGTAGTGTTCCTGTTGAATTTCAGGATATTTGCTGTTTTGCCCTGGAAGTAACATTGACAGATTCCTTTACCTCCCGCCTTCCTCTTGGCACATGGTCTCACATGTGGCGTGGAACTAATAGTGAGTGTAGGGAGCTTTCTTGTCTTGATCTCATTAACTCTGATCTCTCCCTTTAGTCAGGAGTATATAACAGTGGAAGCTGGTGAAAGTAGTTCCTGCTGGGGGAGATGTGCCAGAGGATTTCCCTTCCTACTCCAGAATAAGCATTCTGTCAAAAAGTGACTATAATTCCGTGATTAAACAATTACATACTGCACATTTTGATGAACAGACCTTTCACTTTAAGACCTTCATGTTATTTGTATGGATACTTATATTTAAAAAATTACTAGGGTAATTTAGATCCTATTAAGTCCATCCTATAATCTGATATAAAACATACTTTTTATAGAGCTCATATTTCTGTATTTGGAATTTTTAGTGTAAAATCATCAGTCTATGCAGTCCTTTGTTTTGAAGTGTGCCCCACAAAGGTCTCAGTTGTTAAGGCCAAGAAAGGGGCATCCTTATACCCTCCCCCATCAGTGAAACAACTGCAATGCTTTAACTCTCATCATCCATGTGCAAAACACAGAGCTAGGGTTAAACATGAGGAGAAAGGGGGTAAAAGGGATTCAAATTCAATTTGCAGCAAAATCATGCTGAATGTTGAAGATTCACACAGTGATTCTGATCTGTTTGATGTGGCGTGGACATTGTTCGAGTTAAGCGATTTATTGTTTTTCAAACTTCATTCCAGTTTGTGTGTGATGTTTCATCCAGACCTCTGCTTCTGGTTGTTGAAGCACTTTTAAACTGCAAAAGTGTTCTAAAATAATACAATTTAACCAGAAATGCTTCCAGTGCGCTGTTTTTTCTGAGTTTGTTTTTTGAATGTTTGGCCCATTTTCTAGCTACATTTTTATAAAACACATTTCTGCTGCCTTTGCCAAAAAGCAGAGGCAGAATTTATGCTGTAAGTATTCCCACAACACTCTGACTTTGTCAGTGGTGCGATACGCTGATCCATATTTGAGTGTGACTCCTCACTCTTTTCTATCTGGAAAAGTACATCTGTAGTGCAAAGATGATACAAACTATCATCTTTGTTTGTATTAATAGAGCTGAATGAAGATGAAGATGGTTCTTTGTGGGACATGTTACCAAAGCTATCATCTGGGTGGCAGGCACAAGATCTTTGTTGGTGTGATTGACATGTTATTTTACAAAATTCTTGGTGGAGGCAAATCATGAACAGAATCATTTGGGCCCTTAAATCCATGCAAATATATGAATGGATTAGGCTAATAAATCAAACACACTTCAGTGGCAAAATAAATTGCTGTCAGAGCTCTGGTCTGTGACTTATTGTTAATTTTTTTGCTAGAGTCTAGTAATACATAAAAAGCGATTTACTTGGAATCAGAGCAATTAATAAAACATTTGGCTCTGAATGATCACAAAACAAAATTATGAAAAACAGTAGTTCTTTATTCTTCACCATATTTCACTTTTCATTTCACTTTTCACTAACCCTAACCCTAACCCTGATTTATATGCATTTGCATTCTATCAAACGCTAAACCACTGTTTCCAATTTGGCAAATTATCCTGACGACTTTTTCTAATAAGTGATTTGCAGCAGTTTTAGCAACAGTCTCTGATGTTGCTGGAAACTTTTGGAGACTAGTAAACACATGTTCTTACTCTTCTCAAAGAACAGTAGGGGCCGCAGCAGGCCCCTTCTTCTCTCCACAGGTCTCACAGATGTCCTTGCTCAGCAATCCCTTCCCAGCTAGACCCACATTCAGTCCATTTGCATCCAGCCTGCTGATAAATGAAGCCACCACTGGCTGACCTTACCGTCAAAACAGGAAGTAAATATGACAGGGTTTTTGTCTGACATAAACCCTGACTATTAAGTCCATTCTGTCAATTCAAACTTTCAACGTTCACTGTATATAAGGGACAACAAACAATTTTTATAATTTTATACTGGTTTTACATTACCATACTACTTACATTTCTGAAATATTAGTTCTAACATGAGTACACAAATGTATTATTTACAATCTACTTTGCATACTTTGTTTGATACTATATTTGTTTAATGTCTGTTTTTGGATATCAACCAGTAGCTACTCAAGTACCCAAGGACTTCCACATTACAAACGTAGTTTATAATCAGACAGATAAAAATATAAAGTTACTGTAGGCTAAAATAAAACATAAGGGAAACTACATCAGATCTCAGCAAAAATAAATTCAGGCAGAAGAATCACTTCTCAAAGAATCATATTGTAAATCTTTTTTTTTTTCACAACCTACAACTTTTCAAGCTTGTACAAGCATAACTTATATGTCATGCTTAAACGAGGAATGGCAGAAAGACCGAGTCTAAAACTCCAGACGCAATCTATTAATACAGAATTTAAGCCAACCCGATACATATGGCTGACAATATGTTACTCTAGCATTATTGAAAACATCTGATATTAATATTCAAGACATATGTGCTAAATATGGGGACAAAGGCACTTTGATTCACTTATGAATCAAAATGTTGGAGCGAAGTTTTGGATATAATTTCACAATTTTGAGTGTTGGATTATGAAACACACAAGGCCTCCTGTTTCCATTGTGTGTTACAAGAAGAATCAATTCACTTCAGTTTTTTGATATTGCACCAATTTATAAGATACCGTGTCAAGCTGCTATACCAAAAACAAAGTAATTTTAATCCAATCATACATGCATAATCCCAGTAATCCAACAGTGCAGTTAAGTGAGTGTCCTTTGACTTCTATGATGGTGGCTTAGGAGTTGTCAGTTCAAATCCCTGCTTCATATGTCTCAGTTTTTGGGCACAATCGCCTGCTCAGCTGTGGCTGAAAGGTGATTTACCACCATTAGTGTGTGAACGAGTCTATGAATGTGTTTTCCTCTGGGCTTGATAAAGCACTATAGACTTTATCAAGCACTTGTATATACAGGAAAAGGCATTTTACTATTAAGCTCACCTCTGGAATTTCCTCATTCTGTGAGGTCATAAAGGATACAAAGTTGCTGTGTTTGAGTTCTTTGACAACATCCTGGAAAACCGCCTTTGCTGTTTAATCCACTATGTCTTGGGAATATTCTTCATCTATCATCCTTGACACCCACCTTTCTGTTTGCTCTGCAGAACTGATAGATTACTCGAGCAAATGTAACTGAGGAAATATAACTAGTCACTACCCACCTATTAGGGCAATGCCCTGTTTTAGAAACTTTGACAAATAACCATTTAAAATAATTGCATTTTACATTCTAAACAAAATATTATCTACTTGGTATCTGTCTTAACTTCTTTGAATGATGTGCACTCTTCAGAAAGTTTGCCATCAGTAGTCAATAAGTTACAATGGTAACAAGGTGTTTGCATACACCAGGATAAGACATTATTTATTTGCTGATCGGATCTTCACTTACGTTCTAGACTTGAGTGTTACAAGTGAAAATTTAAGTCAATAGTCACACCACCAAAACTGGAACAGATCCAACAATATTTTCTCATACCTTACCGCTATTTGAACTTTTTATGACCTGGTCGTACGCCACAAATCAGATTTTCTCAAATCAGACATTGGGAAATTGCACATGTGCTCTTATACTGGATGTTTTTGAAAGGTCATGCCTCATTTCTTCTGACTCTTATGTCATGACAGATTTGATGTCTCTGATTTAAGAGGTAGGAATTTATTCACACAACACACTGGACAGCCCTACTTACATGTGCTTCAAGGTAACAAACATTTGAGCAGACATCATTGAGGTGTCTTGACAAAAATAAATAGGTATCTTCCACTTGCACAGCTTCAGAGGCGACGCACACATGATGACGTCCTCATTTACCATCATACAACAAATAACATATCTTTATGCTCTATTGTTTACATCTTATTACTTTTGTAAGCTCAGTGGCTGAGAGTGACGTGTCTTCTTCTGCACATGTTGATCACTTCACCACTGTCGACTTTTCATGCTGGAACCTGATTCCAGCATGGTAAAGTCAGTCGCATTACCATTGTAATGTAAATAATCACACTAAGAAAGCATTAACATCTGCATTTTGTGAACATAATCTAAGTTGTTGCTGT